GATCATTACCTTTGTCCGACAAAGGGGCTGATCCTGTCACTGTGATTACCCACTCAGATGAATTCTCGGACTGTCCCAACATACCTAGGTTTTGACCCCTGCTAAGGATCTCACTGATTGGCATATCAAAGACAACCCAATCCGACACCAAATAAAGTATCATAATCGAGTCTAGGGATCAGGTGTAACTTTCCAGTTCTGCCCACTAATCACCAAGGTCCAGAGCAATACTGGAAATCTGGTCCAGTTCAGGGTTTCAAGTAAACCTACACTGCATGTACCTTGGGTCTTACCCTGTCAGCTGAGACAGGCCACCCCAACACTTGGCGGCACATCAGTGTCAACCTTAGCAAGATAAATCTCCCCAGACTTATCCAACAGCTGTGAACATTCTAAACTAACACGAGTCTCATAAGTATCCAGTTTAAGGGTATTACACAGAAACATACCACTATAACATGAATCAAATATGTACTTTGTTCATTTACAATAAATGTCATAATGTACATCAATCTGATTGGAGCTAAGGGCATACACTATCTAACAATTATGGATTCTGGATCCTTTAACCACTCCCCAACCAATTTTGAGTCCACTTCAATCATTACATCCATTATGTTCAGCTCACTAGCAATCTACACTCTTAGAATTGCAGCAAACAATTCTGCTTTAAGAGAGTCACCCATACCCATAGGTCCAAAAACAGCACTATGAGTTTACCTTCTAGACCTCTCAAAGCCCCTCCTATTCCAAAAGGGCCTAGATTACCTTGACTGCTCCCATTAAAGTTCAGTTTTACAAAGCCTTCAGGTGGAGGTAGCCAATGAACCTCCATTCTTTCCTTTTTAGAAGAGCTTTCCGCAACTACTTTCCAATTTCTCTAGACATCATCAAAAGAAAACTGGGAAAACAACTCCAAAGTCTTGATTCAATGGATCACCCTGACCATCACGCAAACCCTATTCTCTTCCATGCTTTTCTCCTCTAAGAAAATTCTTGCATTCCTTTCTTCCCAGATAGTCCAAACCAAGGCTACTCTCATGCATCTCCACATTACTCTTCCCCTTTTTTTGGGCCAAGTGAGCATAGAAGGATCAAAGCATATTAACCTCCATTGGTAAAGTCCACCTGCACCCAAACAAAGAGAAAAACCATTGCGAAATAGCTACGAAAAGGGGACAGGAAATCAGTAAGTGATAGCAATCTCTAGGATTCTCTTGAGGGCATTTCTTGGATAATTCCCCACTAGATGGCAGAATTTGGAAACCTTGCCCTTCAAGTTTTTCATGTGATTCTCTTTAGTTCCTCCTCTTCCTCTCCCTAACCAATTCTAGCCAAATAAATTTAAAGTGAATTGGTTTTGCAGATTTAGGGCCTTTTGTTGGGAGGTGTTCCTTGAGAAAAGCTACTTGGCCATGCTACAAAGAAAAAGGCTCAACTAGTGTCTTTCTCCTCATTGGTGTTTTCATTGTAATGTAATAGAGAGGCTATACACCATTTAGGTATCTTCTGCTCCTTTTTTTCTTGTGTTTGGACATGGTCCATCTCATTTTTTGGTTGTAGGTGGTCTCTTCCAACATATGTGAGTAGTTTGTTCAATACAGATCCTTGGCCAAAAGGAGAGTACCATGAAGGTGTACAAGGGCAACTATGATGTGGACAATTTAGGAAAAAAGGACTCCTATTATTTTAAAGGAGAAATCACATGCGATGGAAGAAACCATTGAAAGTGTCATAATCAAAGTGATACATTTGGTAAAGACCCTACCACCGTTTGACCCTTTCTCTATGGACTGAATATGGTCTGAGATAGAATCCTAATCAGCCTCCAGGCCACTGCTGCAGCAACAATGGGCCCGACCTGGTTCCAACTATATAAAACTAAATTTTGATGGTTGCTGTCTAGGAAATCCAGGGTTGTGTCTAGTATTTGTGGGGTATTCAAGGATTATAATTAGCTCTCTTTTCAAGGTTGGTAGGGCTGGGAAAGTCATTGAGAGAAAAGTTGTTGGCCAAAGTCCAAGGATTCAGGATTGGTAAGTGGTTAAATTTCAGAAATATCATTGTGGAAGGGAATTCAAAGGCAGTGGTGGGATGGTAGATAAGAAGAATAAAGGATTATAAAACTACAGGAACAATATGAATGAGATAAGGCATCTGGCCAATGACTTAAACACCATACATTCCATTGGGTTAAAAGATCAGCAAATTCTATGGCTCATGGATTAGCATAAGAAGGGGTGAAAAGAGAAAGTTTGTTCTGGGTGCCTTGTAGTGTATTTGTATGAGGGGGTGGTTTGTCACCCTAAATGAGGAGGGTTGTTGTAACTTTCTAAATACTTTATTTGTCTATAATTATTTGTAAAAGTTAAAGTTAATGTTATCCATCCAAAAAACAAATAAATCATTTTATTTAAAAACACAATTAAATTATCAGATCTTGCAGGCATACAATGTCTAACACCTCTAGCTCTACAGTTTTCTTTTAGACACATTCCACCTAAAAATTTGTAATTTCTTTCTAGGTGCCTATTATCAGGTCCCATAATTAGATCTTGCAGATCTAACGCAGTTACTATCATCATTAGAAAACAACAAAACCAAGCAATCCAGCCAATATTTTTCACTTAAGGAGTAATTTTACTCAAATAAACATTTTAAATGTGAAATTTCTAGAAAGCATTGCATAGAACTCTATTTGTTTCCAAAAATTAGGCAAATGTCATCTTTGGGCAGTTTGGTTCAAAAGTAATAATAACATTGTGAAAAAGTGTAATATTTTTGGGCGAAGAAATAGTGTGTACTATTCCAATCTTTACTCACACAAATAATCAACTTTCTTTAATCAAATAGAAAATCTTCAACATCTAAAGAAACCTACACCAATAGATTTAACTCTGTGTTTAGATGTGTGTGTTCTCACTATTTCTTAGATTCATAGACCAAATTTGTTTTAGTGGGATCTTTTACTCACATTTTTTCCATCAAGAACGTTTTATAAAACTCTTTGACCCCCAAATTTGGAGTATCCTACTTTCACGCAATTCACGGGGTTCAACAAGCAATCAATATTTCACGATCAAAGGTGTAGTGCTGCTTGTAGTAACAGTCCTTATATACCGCATTAACTCTGTGTGTGTGTGTGTGAATGAGTGAGTGAGATAGAGATCAAACTTGCATTTAGCATATATATCACCATGTAAGAAAAAGATCAACTTACTTCTGAGATTTAGGTCGAATATTTGATATTGAAAGTTTGTCAATGTCACTGACTACTAATTCTTTTCTTAGAAAAAATAGTGTTCCACCTGACACGTTGATTGGAACAAGAACTAAGATTGTGAGGATTGTAATTGGTATGAAAATCTTCAAGCTGTTAGAGAACAAAATAAAAAAGTGTGAGATTTGATACCAGAATAAAGTTATTTCACTGACCATGAGATGCACAAAAAGTAGCCAATATTATCCTTTCCACGTAATGCCAAATACAAACTCAAAAGTATTTATTTCTTTAAGCAGCAAATGCAATTCTAGCATGATGTACCAACAGTAAGAGTCTACATATCTCATTCAGATAAGATACAAAATAGCCAAACATGGAATTGTTCTGCTCCAAAAATTAATTAAGTAAATAGGAGGTAATTGAATGTAGCAGAAGATAAACACTGAATGTAAATGCATAAATTGGCGTATTAGAGACATTGAAAGAGAGAGAGAAAGAAAGAGAAAACAATGGGACTTCAAACAACCATGAGTACATATCATACTCTTCTCAGAATTTTTATTTCTTAAAGAAAGATTTTTTTTCAATAGTTAACTGTAACTTTATCGAGAATAAATAATAGAATAAAGGTTTGTATACAGTATGCCCAGCATCCCAAGATTAAACCAGGACTAGCCCTTCTGACCCAATAACTGACTACATGATATTAGCCCTAAACAATTGTGCCCTTGTTACCCCTTGTTTGGCAAGAGCATCCGCCAAACTATTTGCTAATCTTGGTATCCAAAAAAAAGTGCAAATTAGTTCAATGGAAGATGATTTATCTCCCTCACAACCTGCCAATGCTGCCACAAACCTTGACTGTTATTTGTTATACACCCCACAACTTTTGAATCTCCTTCCACAATTATATGTTTGTATATAAGGATTTCCCCAACGTTAATCCTTGCAATAATACCACAACTTGGCCCAAGTTCTTCTTATAGGAAGAGTTCCTAACAATGAAACATAGTACATTGGTTTGTGCTTATGAAATTTACAGGTAAAAGGAAACCTAAGGAAGAAAACAAACTGACATAAGCTCAATCTCATTACATAGAAATGCACCTTGAAGATAACAATTATTTTCTTATTTCTACTCCTTTAAATAATCCAAGTACCATAGTAGATCACATGGCCTTCCAAGGTGGCAATTTGTTTTACTTACCTGATATTACTGTTATAACAATTAAATTCAATTCATTTATCGATAAACCTAGTCAACTGCATTATGAACCATTTCCAAAGCAAAAATATTTATAACTCCATATTATGGTTAGTTGAAAATTACACCTACAGTAATTCAGATAATGCAAGAAAAGAAGAAAAGAGAGAAAGAGAAAGAAGAAGAAAAGAAGGCCCATAACTTGAATGCCCTTAATGGGGCGGCCAGCACTAAAGAAATAATTAAAAATAAATAAAAAAAGGCCCATAACTAGGAAACATAACTTTTAAACACTACTTAAAAGAAATAAAGAACACTAGGGCCCATTCTCACTACACTCCCCCTCAAGCTGAGCATAGATGTCAATCACACCCAGCTTACTTACATAATGTTGAAGTTTTGCCTTTGGGACTCCCTTAGTTAGAAAATCTGCTAGCTGCTCTTCTGATGCAATGAGAGGTAGGCACACCTCTCCTGAAGCCACTCTCTCCCATATAAAGTGTTTGTATACCTCAATGTGCTTAGTTCTATCTAGTGATTTAAAAGGCATAGGAGGCATACGCCTGGAGGTGCGCCTCCAGGCGAGGTGCTCCCAAAACGCCATGAGGCGTATGCTAGAGGCGCTGACACCTCTGAGGCGTATGCCTCAGGTGCAAGAGGTGTACGCCTCTTGCGCTTTTTTCATGAGGCATGCTAGAGGCATACGCCTCATGTGCCTCATGCACATCTGATATAAAAAGACAAAAAAAAAAAGAAAAAAGAAAAAAAAAAGGAAAGGAAAGGAAAGGAAAAGAAAGAGAAGAAAAAAAAGAGAAAAGGAAAGGAAAGGGAAGGGAAGAAAAGATAAGGGGAAAGAAAGTGATTTGCCCCTTGCCCCCCCTAGACCCCCCTGCCCCCTATTTGATGCAACCCAATTTGTTTTTTTTTTTTCTTTTGAGTTAGGGGGGTCTTGCTCTGCTTCAACAAGACCCCCCCCCCCCTTTAAACTAATGTTATGCATCTTTATTCTTCTTAATATAAAAGATTTTTATTAAAAATAAAGACAAAATGAGATCCCCCCTTCCTCTTCATCCTCCTCCTAACCCCCCCTCCTCTTAAGGAGGCTTACGCCTCCTTGTGTTCGGGAGGCTTACGCCTCTTGCGTTCTGAACTACACCTCACGCCTCTAGGTAGTAGAACGCCTCGCGTCACGCCTCCGCGTTTTAAAACATTGGTTCTATCATGGTGAATTGGGTTGTAAGCAATGTTAATAGCAGCTTAGTTATCACAATACAACATCAGTAGCCCATCTCATTAAAGAGAGATCTAAGCCAATAACAACTCAGAAACACCATGGGCCATACCTGTATCATGTATACTCTACCTCAGATGAAGATCTAGCAACCACTAACTACTTTTTGCTTCTCCAAGAAACAATATTTCTGGCTACCATAGCACAAAATCCTGATGTGGATCTCCTGTAATCCACATTTCCTACACAATCAACATCTATATATGCTTTTACCTTCATGTGTCCATGTTTAGCAAATAATATACCCTTCCTGGGGGTTCCCTTAAGGTAGCATAACACCCTTTCTGCAACAACCATGTGTCCTTGGGAGCATGTACGAACTGGCTGATGACACTCACAACATAAGAAATGTTTGGACAAGTCATACATAGATAAAGAAGTTTCCCCCAATAACCTATGAAACACTCCCCTATCAGCTAAAAGTTCTCCATCATTAATTAAGAATTTATGATTCACATCAATAGGGGTTGATGCAGGTTTAGCACCAAGTTTTCCAGTCTCAGTAAGAAGGTCTAGCACATACTTCCATTGAGAAATAAAGACACCTTCCTTGGACTTAGCAACCTCAATGCCTAAAAAATACCACAACTCCCCTAAATCTTTAATTTCAAATTCAGAATTGAGAAACTTCTTGAGAGCACTAACTTCTTCTATATCACTGCCAATAACCACAATATCATCTACATAAACTATAAGGAATGTCACCAAAGTGCCTTTTCTCTTAACAAAGAAGGTATGATCTGATTGAGTCTGAGTGTAGCCGAGATTGTTTCAGGATATAAAGTGATTTCTTCAATCTACACACCTTACCTGCATTTCCTTGCCATATACCAGGAGGAATGGACATATATACCTCTTTAGGGAGATCACTGATTTCGATCAAGAGTGAAGTAGAGAAGAGAGGAGAAGAAGAAGAAGAAGAAGAAGAAGAGAGAGAGAGAAGAAAAGATTGGAGACCAAAAAGTATGGTTGGCGGCGCCAGTCTTTGTATTTATATGTTAGGGCGACAATATAAAATATAAAACATGAAAAGACAAAAGTGCCCTTGCAACACATAACTAAGATTACATCAATCCCCCTCAAGTTGAGGCATAGATATCAACCATCCCCAACTTGTCACAAAGATTATAGTGCCGCATGAAGTTTAATCCTTTGGTAAGGATGTCTGCAAGTTGTTCCTGAAAGCTTATGTAGGGAGTGCAAACTTCTCCTTTTTCCAATTTTCCCTGATGAAGTGTTCGTCAACCTCTATGTGTTTAGTTCTATCATGGAGAACAGGATTGGCTGCAATGCTGATGTAGGCAACCCACTATTTTCAATATGGAGTTAGATGCCTCTCAAATTTTCCATCACATCAAAGGTGTCATGAGTAGATGCCGGAGCAGGAGGATTTCCCTCAAGCATGTGAGTCTGAGAATCATGACTTGTAGTAGCAACATGAGCATTTACTTTCTTTCTAGTCTTAAACTTCTCAGGTTTCAGGTGGGGATTTAGTTTTTAGCATCTCCCCTTGATATGCTTCGAATTCTTACAGTGTTCACAAAATAGCTCTTCAGGTTTACCAAAACTTTGCTTAGGCTTTGTGGACACAAGAGCAATGTGCTCACCTACATACACTTGCATCATAATCCTCCTACTCTCTTCATTCTGCACAAGAGAATATGTTGTGGAGAGTGACAAAATATCAACACTAAGGATGTGTTGCCCAGTTAAGTCATAATCAGCATTCAACCCAGCAATAAAACCAAAAACTCAGTTTTTTCAGTGTACTTCCTGTACTGTTCAGCATCAACAGGATCCTTCCACTCCAAAGCCTAAAGATGATCAATTTCTTCCCAAATTAATTGTGAGGAGAAATACATGGCTACTGATTTCTCCCCCTATTGGATATTACATGCTCTTTTCGCAATTGATAGATTCTAGCAGTGTTTTTCGCTTGAGAATAAGTTGCAGTTATTCTATCCCAAATATCTTTAGCTATTGGAAGGAATATATAGTTACGGGCAATGTGTCGCTGCATAGAGCATACAAGCCATGACATAACCAGTGGATTATCCTGCTCCCATTTGGAATAGTTTGTATCTTCAGGCTTCAGCTTAGCTTCTTTACTGGTAATAAATCCGAGCTTACCTCTTCCACCAATTGTAAGCTTGGCTGATTGAGACTATAATCATTCATGGAGAGTGGGAGACGAGAGAGAGAGAGAGAGAAAGAGAAGAAGAGGGAGATACGATTGAGAAGGAAAAAAGATGTTACTGGCTGCCGCCAGTTCTCTATTTATATTAACTTAATAAAAAATAATAGAAATTACAAGTATGCCCCTGGCGGCACACCCTAGAACCAAACTAATAAGAAAAAAAAAAAGACAAGTACCTAACTGACAGTATCTTAAGAAGTCAGCCTACTAACAACAACTATAAAGTAACAATTAAATAAGCCTTACAACACTCCCCCTCAAGTTGGGCTGAATATGTCTATCATGCCCAGCTTGTCACATAACTCATTCTGCCGCGAGTATAGAAGCCCCTTTGTGAGGACATCAGCAAGTTGTTCCTTGGAGTTGACATAAGGGATGCAGATTTCCCTTTTTTCCAATTTTTCCCTTATGAAGTGTTTGTCCACCTCAATGTGCTTGGTCCTCTCATGTAGGACAGG